ACTTTAACTAAAATAAAATGAAAATGGACGATATAAAAACACCAACAACTAGTCACCCACGTGACCTGAATTGAACGTAATAAGGCAGAAAAGGGCTTTAAAGTGTTAGACGGCAATCACTTTATTTAAATAAAATGTATTTAAAAAAGTAATAAAATTTATTACTATTTTCTTCTAAGCCTGTTCTACAAAAATCTATTTCAAGACGCTGGTTGTGTTTCTCCTCTATTTTAATCTTTAAGAGGATTTACACAGGGAATTCCCTCCCTGGACACAAAGTCTCTATTTTAGTGTGTGTGTGTGTGTGTGTGTGTGTGTGTGTGTGTGTGTCGGACTTCTGATAACATGGTTATGTAGGCCTAGTCAACATTTTGAGGTGAGCTATGTTTGTCTCTGTGCTTATTAACAGTGGGATGGGGTTTCACATAATAGATCCCAAACAACAGGCAGTTCAAGACATAGGCCTACAGAAAATTCCATTCCATTATATTTATGAGCCTCAGATCATATTTTGTGACAAATTATGCGTAAATAAACTCTTGCAACAAATATATTGCATCATAATGTCAGAGAGGTACTTTAACAGAATACGATAAGTGTTTTTTTGACATTTGTCTCGGAAAATGACACGAGAAGCCTTTATTTATGCATCGCTGTTGAGCAGAGATCAGCAGGACCCTATTTCATCAGTATATAACGCCCTCTAGTGGTTGATTTATAAAAAATAGTATCTATCTATCTATCTATCTATCTATCTATCTATCTATCTATCTATCTATCTATCTATCTATCTATCTATCTATCTATCTATCTATCTATCTATCTATCTATATAGTGAAGAAAATAAGTATTGAACACCCTACTATTTTGCACGTTCTCCCACTTAGAAATCATGGAGAGGTCTGAAATTACCATTGTAAGTGCATGTCCACTGTGAGAGACATAATCTAAAAAATAAAATCCAGAAATCACAATGTATGAGTTTTTTTAACTATTTGAACACCTGAGAAAATCGATGTTAATATTTGGATTATTTGGATTCTAGTAGCCTTTTTTGTTTGCAATTACAGAGGTCAAACGTTTCCCCCAAACATTGGCCCACTCCTCCACACAGATCTTCTGTAGATCAGTCAGGTTTCTGGGCTGTCGCTGAGAAACATGGAGCTTGAGCTCCCTCCAAAGATTCTCTATTGGGTTTCGGTCTGGAGACTGGCTAGGACACGCCAGAACCTTGATATGCTTCTTACAGAGCCACTCCTTGTCCTGGCTGTGTGCTTCGGATCATTGTCATGTTGCAAGACCCATCTTCAATGTTCTAACTGAAGGACAAAATCTCGCAATACATGGCCCCGGTCATCTTCTCCTTAATATAGTGCAGTCGCCCTGTCCCATGTGCAGAAAAACACCACCAAAGCATGATGCTACCACCCCCATGCTTCAAAGCAGGGATGGTGTTCTTGGGATGGTACTCATCATTCTTCTTCCTCCAAACACGGTTAGTGGAATTATGACCAAAAAATTCTATTTTGGTCTCATCTGACCACATGACTTTCTCCCATGACTCCCTGGGATGGTGTGGGGAATGTTTTTTTTTTTTTTACTTGGCACACTTTAGGCCCCTTAGTGCCAATTAGGCATCGTTTAAATGCCTAAATGAAAAAAACACCATGTACCCATCCTCTGATGGCTATTATAATCCACCATGTCACAAAGCTCGAATCATTTCAAATTTGTTTCTTGAACAAGACAATGCGTTCCCTGTACTAAAATGGCCCCCACAGTCACCAGATCTCAACCCAATAGACTAGAGCATCTTTGGGATGTGGTGGAACGGGAGCTTCGTGCCCTGGATGTGCATCCCACAAATCTCCATCAACTGCAAGATGTTATCAATATGGGCCAACATTTCTAAAGAATGCTTTCAGCACCTTGTTGAATCACTGCCACATAGAAGGGGGTCAAACACAGTATATATAGTTTGACTATATTTTTTTATGCGTTTTTTAAAAAATATATATTTCTGTAAGTCATAATAATGACGGACTTTCTCATAATAATGACTTTTTAGTTTGTTTTTTGTCGCAGAAAATATTTTTGATATTTTGTTAGACAACTGGATTTGAACGTTTAGGCTAACATTAGCAATGACCTTGACATCCATTACTAGTGAGAAAGTGAAACATTCTAACATTAACTAGCTTGCTATTGACATATTCTATTGTTAGGTAAAAAAAAAAATAAGGGTTGAAATAGAACGTTATTATATTTAAACAATTATATTATGTCACTGTCGGGCAGAAACCTTGTATCTCCATAAATCGTCATTTTTATTTGTTGTCATAAATCAATGCTATCGATCACCCATTACGTCTGTCTGTGGACTCTTCCCAGAGCAAGCCAGACATACCGCCTGTCATGATGAAGCCATCCAAATTGAGGTAGAAGCATAGCTCAGAATTTGGACACGCACAGAGTATGGGTAGGTTTAGGTCTGGGGAAGGCTTAGGGTTAGACCACTAGGAGGCGCCTTCTAGAGGCGAAACTGATGCTTTTTTGGTAACAGCCACTAGGTGGCGCTTCGGTAGCGCGGCCGCCATTTTGGGGTGAAAATTCCAACTGGAGTTACAGGACAACAGGACAGATAACAGTTTTTTGAGGTCGTTTTTTCTTGTATTAGTGAGTATTTCCATTGTATGCAACTTAACACATTTACTACTATTATTAGTTACCAGCTCCACTTGGACTGAAATATATTTTGTACGTTTTAATCCCCTCGATCATGCTACAAACATGATGATCATTGATATGCTGTGTCCGTTATCCTATAAGTTTAATTGCCACTTTGGGCAGTGGCTGTGTTTTTTGTTTACATAGTCTTGCTTTAACGGTCATTAATATAAGATAGTACAGAAAAAACAGTTTACTGTAAAGCTATTGCTGTTATATATTTATTGTCCAGCATTTACATTTTAGTACAACATTTATTTGCTGAATTTATTTATTTTATTGATAACTTATTTTTGTATGTACCTCCTGGGAAACTGTCTAATGTTATTATAACTTAATGAACTGATATCACTTTATTCTTACCTGTCACACTTTATGTGGAGAGTAATATAATTAATTAAATCGAACTTCCCTGTCTCAAGTTATGTGGGGGAAAAGCCTGGTTAAGCAACTTCTTTTTAACTGCTATAACGTTAACTGTTGTGAGTTAAAAATAATCACCTAATTATTTCAACCTAAAAAAGACATCTGCACTGGACTAAATATATGTATAATATATGACTGCCAAGTCGCTTTCACCCCAAAATGGCGGATGCATAGAGCTGCTGCTGGGCGCTGGTGTTGCAATCTATTGGCTTTCACTTCTTGTCTATACGTTCTTTGCTCATATTGATGCTAAAGGGTGTCATGTGGCGCCTTGGGATGAAAACGGGCTGGAATATCACGGATATTGCGTCATTGACAGGCGACAATGACCAGGGATGAGCCATTATTTAAAATTGGAATATCTCTGAAATTAAAAATATTTGGGAACTTTTAGGATATTGTAAGTACACAACTGTAGGAAATATATCACACTGTGCAGGTGATTTTTGGATATTTTATTACAAAAATCTTACATTTTGTACCTTTAAGGGGGACATCTTCCCCCATGTTACCATATATTCATTAAATTCAGCACATTTCAGCTCTGTTTTAAATGCTCTTGTATTCAAATTAAACGTGGTCCACTTCTGTGGACCTGCTATGGAAATAATACAGAAGCAGCTGTAGATACTCGTATTAAGTATGTGATGATGTCGAAAACAGCCCTATATCTCTCTCTGTGTGTGTGTGTGTGTGTGTGTGTGTGTGTGTGTGTGTGTGTGTGTGTGTGTGTGTGTGTGTGTGTGCGTGTGCATGCGTGCGTGTGCGTGCGTGCGTGCGTGGATGTGTGTGTGGGTTAGCACATTCCACTTTGGGCCAATTTCTGATTCACTGCAGTGGTCTAGAGCCTGTCATCCTTAAACAGATAAAATGCTCATTCTCAGGTCTTTTTCGTGTCTCTTTCTCTTTCTCTGCTTGTAAAATCGAAACATCAGCCTCAGAAAGTGCTGAGTGAAGACAGCGAGACCTGCAGGAGGTCTCCAGGGGTTTGCTGGTGTGATCACGCTAAACCCGTCCTGAGGTGTGGCTCCTGCCTTTGGCCTCAACCCAAGTCTGTGTGGTGCGACAGTCCTGCACTCGAAACACAGCCCCCCATCCCCCCCACCACACACACACCGCTCCCCGACAGCCAATACTGATGACTCATCAAAAAAAAAAGTGTGATGGGATGCAGCTTCCTAAAGAATACTGACTTTAACAGCACTCCTATGCATTTTGTTAACATGTCTTAGATGCACTTTATGTTTGAGATGAATGAAAACTGCCAGCTGACTTTGAGTCTGCACAGGATTCTGCATCAAGGAGGGTCATCTGAGTAAGACCTCCGTGTCTCATTCAGTATTCAGACACTGCAGAGGTACAGGCTGCCACCCGCATTACAACACACACACACACACACACAGTCAGACACTCCCTCTCACTGCAACATGCTTCAATCCCATGCACACATGCAGCACTTCTGCTTACACACATGACATGAAATACAATTATTTCTCGATTTATTTATTTTTGCATTGTCATATTAAGTCAAACATTATTTTAAATGGCCCTAAAACGTAGCCTACTTAATTTTCTTTATATGCAGCAAAACACTCACAAAGTCAATCAGTTTGACTGCACCACATTTGTCCTGAATGTTTCCGCATTACTTATACTGAATTTAACAAAGAATATTATAAAGATCCTTATTATGACATATAGTAAAGTAACAATTTCAGCTGCACTGCAAAATAAACTCAAGGCAATATTTCGGTTCCTCTGAACTTTCTGGAAATCTGGAAATTAGTGTCTCAAACTTCAATATTTCAAGTGCTTTGAAAGCTTCATTTATGAGGAACGCACTGCCTTTATTGCAGGAACTTTTAGGCTCAGTTTTGGCTTTTTAAAAGGTGATTCTCCAGAGGTCATCCGAGGAACCCCATGTGTAGTTTTTTATTATTTATGTTATGTTTTACCTATCTTTTGACCTTTATTTATCCTCAGTTCTCTGCATGATGACAATCTCCATCGCGTGAAAAGGGATGAGTGGCCACAAATGCAAAGGCAGGGAATGAATGAGCTCTCTCCTGGGACTCTGTCTTTTTGCTCAGGGTGGCAGGTTTCCCCCTCCACCACCGCCCCTGCGTCAGATGATGCTCGCGGTCTGTGTCTATAAAAGATGCCGGTGTGACAACCCGACCGGCACTCTCCTTCTCTCTTTCTCTGTCTTCCCACATCCACACACTTCACTCACTCGGTCTGTGATCTTGAGCATTTCAGCATGAGTTATTCCGGCGACATGTACACGAGCAGCTCATACAGGAAGATTTTTGGAGATGCGCCACGGCGCGTCCCCGTGGGCAGCAGCCCGTCCCGGGTGAGCTACCGCTCCGCTCCGCAGCAGCAGCACCACCACCACCGCACCTACGGCTCTCCATCCCCCATGATCACATCCTCCAGTTACCGGACCAAACTCGGATCCGGCCGCGGCGTCGGCTACCAGACGGACGCCGTAGACCTGACGCAGACCACCGCCGTCACCAACGAGCTGAAGATCATCCGCACCAACGAGAAGGAGCAGCTGCAGGGCCTGAACGACCGCTTCGTGACGTTCATCGAGAAGGTGCACAACCTCGAGCAGCACAACAAAGTTCTGGAGGCGGAGGTCGCGCTCCTGCGCCAGCGCCACAACGAGCCGTCGCGCCTGCACGACCTCTACGAGCAGGAGATCCGCGAGCTGCGCGGCCGCGTCGAGGAGATGACCCACGAGAAGAGCCAGATGCACCTGGATTGCGTGCAGATGAACGAGGCGCTGGAGCGCGTCAAGGAGAAGCTGGACGAGGAGACCCGGCTGCGGGAGGAGGCCGAGAACAGCCTGAAGGGATACCGCAAGGACGTGGATGACGCCACGCTGTCCCGCCTGGAGCTGGAGAAGAAAGTTGAGTCCCTGCTGGATGAGATCGCGTTCCTCAGGAAAGTGCACGAGGAGGAACTGCAGGAGTTACAGGCGTCGATTCAGGCCACCCAGGTATGAAAAAGTTCTGAATGATATTTATTTTGATCTGTTTGCTGGTTTTAGAGGGGGTTTGGACACTTTTAGCTGGTCAGGCTTGTGTGATGCTAACTGGAGACCAGCCTGGGATTAGTTGTTTTTTGTTTGTTTAGTGGCTAATGAGCAATTGGAACTACATGCAATAGTTGCAAATGTGTGTGTGTTTTAATTCCAGCTAAGCTAAATATTGCATAAATGCTTTAGATGACATATGAAATGTGATTTTCATAATAACTGCTTGTGTTAAATGTACAATTTACAGTGTAAGAGCTTATTTGGTGAGATGCAATTATATAAAGCATACACATTCTGTTCCCAGAAATGTTCATTAATATCTCATACCATAGTTTTGCAGTGGCATAATAATGCAGATCTCTTTGGGAATGGCATTTTTATTAACTTCCAGTCAAATAAAACAAGTTGTGGTTTAGCCAAATTTCCCATATGCTTTGGGTTTGAGAATTGCTACATAAACACATGAAACAAACATGTCCTTCAATATTTACATGAATTATATTTGATTAGCTTACAGACAATTTAACATGAGTGAATTAACCTGACTAAAGCTTTACCTCAATTAAAATCATTTTAAAGGATTGAAATAAGATCAGATGAATCATATAAAGCCTAGAAATACCATGTATCCATAAATGCTTTGAAATACAATGGTAATTAATAACTCATAGTGTGGGCATGCGTATCATGACTGTGCAGTGTCATTGAGTGCGGTGTGTGTCTGGGAGAATTTACAGCACTGCAGCTCAGACTGAGAATCTGACGCTGCACTGCACCAGGACCTCAGTCAAAATGTGCTTTTATAATGCCAATCCAACTTTAACATCTATTTACCCACACAAAGACAAGGAGAAGCCCTGGAGAGAAGGTTGAGAGAAAATTGTTTTAAACTTCCTAACCTCCTGGCAACGAGGAGACAGACGAGTAGCGCAGGATTTTAGGTGTGGCTGCAGAGGGGGTGCAGCGGGACCCCTGCGGCACAGCGTCCTTGAGAGGGACTGCATCACTTTAGACTCGCTCTCAGAGTCATGCATTTCTACTCTACAGATTACATTTCATTTAATAACCCTGAGTATAACAATAACACTGTGACTGTAACTGCTGTAAGCTGATGCTCATCCTGCATGGATTGCTGTTCTCTGTGTGTTGATGGTGCATTGGATGAATCGCATCCTTATGAAAGCGTTCAGGCAGTGTCATCTTTCTTTGAGCATTAAAACCCCTGAGTCTGTGCTCCATCCCACAGCCTAATGGCCCTAAAAAAACTTCATTACCACTAATTAAACAGCAATGGCCAATATTAGCACCGCATCAGCTCTACTGCATTTATGATAACTTCACTAACTGATGGACAGTGGTTTATTGATTACATTCACTGTAAAACTGTTTATTTATAAGTATTCTCTGACAAATTTAAGCAAATTTCTTTATATATGGACAGAATGTCTCATTTGTGCCAACAAATATATGCCAAATTATCTGTATGTATAGCTACGCTCCTTTTGGCTCAAACGTGCATGCCAGTTTCAGGGTATTAATTATTCATTAGAAAATCAATTATGAATCAGCAACTAAATTACACTTCCTCCACCAATCAATTTTACAGACTAAAGACTATTTGTGGCTATCATTAACTACTATTCAAAAGTTTATGCTCACCAACAATAAAATGAGTCATTTTTGAAATATCATTACAATTTAAAATAGATGTTTTCAATTATAATGCATTAAAAAAATTATTCCTGTGTCACATGATCCTTAAGAAAGCATTCTAAGATGCTCAAGAAACATTTCCTACTGTGTTAAAAACAGTTGTGCTGCTTAATGTGAAAACCAGACTAAATCACATGATGCTGTGATTTTATATTATTTAAAATATAAATCTTTTTGAACTTTTTTTAAACGGGTTAATGGTTGTATTAAACCTATTAACAATGATTTTCTTGACTGTATTCCATGCTCAGGTGTCTGTCGAGATGGACGTCAGTAAGCCTGACCTTGCCGTGGCCCTGAAGGACATCCGTGCCCAGTACGAGACTCTGTCTTCCCGGAACCAGCAGCAGGCGGAGGAATGGTACCGCTCCAAGTTCGTCAGCGTGACGGAGGCGGCGGCGCGCAACAACGACGCTCTGAAGCAGACCAAAGATGAGCTGTCCGAGTACCGTCGGCAGCTGCAGTCCCGCACCCTGGAGATCGAGTCCCTGAAAGCCCATAATGAGTCCTTAGAGAGACAGCTGGCAGAGATGGAGGACCGCCACAACAACGAGATCGGCGAGATGCAGGTCAGTCAATGCTTTTTACATTCAAGTTATACATATACAGTCGAGTCACTAACTGCTCCTAGTTGCATTTTTATAATCTCATTTAAAAACTATTATAAATTCCATAATGAACATAAGACTGAGTGAGTTTACATTAAAATGTACTCATTTAGCAGATACTTTTATCCAAATTTGTAAAAAGCTCAAATCACTCATGAACAAAACCTGATGATCATGTAATCCAGCATGATTTTAGAATGATCCAAAGAGCATCCAAAGAACAACTGTCTACAAAGGAAGGAGTCATATGATGAACGCCACAAATTTGCTTATTTGGTTAGTGACTTATTTGAAAAGTTTCTAGGTTTAAATTTTCAACGTTTTGTTTGACCCCACTGTTTTTAAAGTCATTTTTTAATGTATATTTTGCTAGTTGTGGGAATCTTTAAGCACCTCTCGATCTGGAATTTTTCGATTCTAAAATGATTCTTGATTTATATATTTTTCCTTGACATTAATATCAAATTTATTTGTGCATTTTATTAAATTACAAGTAAATTACAAATTAATAATATATATATAAAAAAGGATATGTTAAGACTAAATATAGCAACAAATACAAGCAAATATAATGTAATAGACTAAGAAGAACATTACAAACAATAAATGAAAACTGGTTTTAGTATCTGAGAGTGCTTTAAAGTTTTCCAGTCACGTGCAGTGAGGGATTTCTGTCTTTTTCTCAGCATTATGGCAGTTTGATTATTGCATCGATGACATCCTAGTGGCAGGTCTAGGTTATATTCATTTGAACATATCAGATGTTTTGTCCAATCCGCGAGATAAGATACAATTTTTTTCCAGAAGAAATGCATACACTCTAAAAAATGCTGGGTTGTTTTTACCCAATTTTGGGTCAAATATGGACAAACCCAAATTTTGGATTAAAAAATGCAATTAATAAATTTAACCCAACAGCTGGGTTTGTCCATATTTGACCCAAAATTGGATTAAAACCCTGCATTTTTTTAGTGTTTTTCAGAGTGTATTTTTTAGAACATTTTGCTAACATCCTCATCAAGTTATGAAAACATTAATACTGAATGTTCCCTGAACACTCAAAATGTCCAAAAACAATTCTTGGTTATATGAATGTTAGGGAACTTTGCGTTTTATAATTTTGCAAACATTAAAGGAAAGGTACTTTTAATGTTCTCTGAACATTCTGAAACAATTACACTCTTAAAAAAATGCTGGGTTATTTCAACCCAAATTTGGATCAAATATTAACAAACCCAGTAAATTGGGTTAACATTTTTGTCCATATTTTACCCAAAATTGGGTTAAATCAACCCAGCATTCTTTAGAGTGTAGTAACATTTAAAACAGTCAAACGTCCAACTAAAATATTTATATATTTCAGAAAACATTATTAAAGACCTTCGACCGAACATGGTCATGACTTTTAGAGAACCTTGCCAGAACGTCAGCTGTGTAAGATTTCGTGTCAGAAAACTTTATGGAGACATAAATGTCTTGTTTGTGGTGACAGGACACCATTCAGGAGCTGGAATCTGCTCTTCGGAGCACAAAAGGTGAGATGTCCCGCCACCTGCGGGAATACCAGGACCTGCTGAATGTCAAGATGGCACTGGACATTGAGATCGCAGCCTACAGGTGAGACTCTCATATGATGTCATAAGTTGATACTTTTATAAATGTTCCATCCTTATCCATATATGGTCGTTCCCAACAGGAAGCTGCTGGAAGGTGAGGAATGCCGTCTGAGCTCTGTGAGCGGAGCCATGCTGCAGTCCGCCTACTCTTATCCATCGAGCCGCACTTATGCCCTGAGCTCCTACAGGAGGAGCGTAGCCAAACCTGAGACAGAGGAAGAGGAAGAGGAGGAAGAGCAGGTAGAGGAGGAGGAGGAGAAGGAAGAAGGAGAGGAGGGAGCAGAGGAGGCCGAGGAAGGAGAAGAGCAGGAGGAAGGAGGCGATGATGAGGAGGAGGAGGAAGAGGAGGAGGAAAAGAAGGAAAAGGAGGATGAGAAGAAGGAAAAGGAAGAAAAGAAGAGTCCAAAGGAGAACGAGAAGGAGAAAGAGAAAGAAAAGGAGAAAGAGAAGGAAAAGGAGAAGAAGAGCGATAGCAAGGCAGATAGCAAGAGTGAAAAGGGGGACAGTAACAAAGGCGAAAAGGCCGCCGCGGTTAAGAGCAAGTAAAGCTGCGTATCATCACTGCTTCCGTCACATCCGTCTGGACACATCCCTCCATCACGTCAAACACACCTCATCTTCACTTTCATTTCACAACGTTTGGCTGATTTCACCTGCTGATGCATCAGGATATCTGCGCGAAAGCATCGAGTCGGTAACAAAAGCACTGAAACGGATGTTTTCGTATAGCACTATTATACAGAAACAGATTCAACAAGGTCTATGCAGAGCGTATATTTGCAGTAGTTCACCCAAAAATGACACTTTTTGTTGTCATTTCTTAGTTTCGATTTGTCATACAACAGAAGTGGATGCTTTCAAGCTTTCCAAAAAGCACCATAAAAATGTCAGAAAGATTGTCCATGCAATTCTGTATTTCAAGTCTTCAAAAGTCACATGGTTTATTTATGACAGAAATCCTAAAACTTTGAAATCATGAGGTCGTGTTAGGATTGGTAATGTAATAGCCAAGTGCAATAGTGCGCTAAAAAGTGATTTGTGACCTCATATGGACCACTATTAGGCACCTTTCACACAGAATATGTTTTTGCATCATATTGTTTTACGTAAACTTGCACTAGATGGACAATGCATGACGCAGTGCCCTAAAAACGCATTGCTCAAATTAAACGAACCGTGCTTTGTATTTCTTTTCCCCTTGCATCATACGTTTTTAAATACAAAAACAATGTTCTGTGTGAATCGCACCTTTCTGTGTACCTTTTTGGGCACTGTGCACTTCTTTTGTATGGAAAAGAGGAACTGTTAGGCCCTGTCCCAAATGGAGTGCTTCATATGCACTTTATGTCTTGTGGACTTACAATGGCTGCTGCATAACCACTTTGGATTTTAGGATTAAGAAGGGTGTTCCACAAGACCACAAGTGTTAAAGGTGCCATTTGGGACATGGCCTTAGTCTAAGCTACTAGGGTTGTCCAAACTCAGTCCTAGAGAGTTTAGCTCCAACTTACTGCAACACACCTGCCTGGACGTTTCTAGTGTGCTTAGTAAGACCTTGGTTAGCTCGGTTCAGGTGTGTTTATTTTGGGTTGGAGCAATGGCCCTCCAGGAGCAGGATTGGACACCCCTGGTCTAAGCTATTCTTTGTGACAATAATACAGAAAGATTAGATTAAATGATGACAAAATGTTCATTTTCGTGTCAAGACGGCAATTTAAGTGCAGATCAGATGGCCCCATTCACACCTGGTGTTCATTAGTAATGCAGGACAGCACAAAGGAAGGTGATGCCATCAAGGCAAAATGAACTGGTTCCAACCTCTCGGTGCTATTTGATTTAAAAAATAAGTGAGTTTGGACTTTGGAAGAGGTAATTATTCACAGAGCAACAGCATATCCATTATATAGAGCTTCACTCAAGTCTTGAATGTATGTCATGAGCCAAGCACAGGAACAGGCCACATCTCCTGTTTTTTCCAGCGATATTAGGGCATCTATACCCACGTGAACGAAATTGTCCAAGCTCATTTCATTAAGTTCACTCGTAGGGTAAAGAATGTTCATTCACCTTCTCATGCAAAGCATGCATCATTTTTTAACTTTAATGAATGCATCCGGCCATCCCTTCATGGTTTCCGCAATTGCAATGGTCACAGCACGGCAAACGTGGCGGCATGGAGTTCATCATGTTTGGTGGGATTAAAGATCAAATATTTATGGATTGCTTGGGGAGGGTTTCAATGTTTAGATTTTGGAGAGAGGAGTGCAACTGTAGTGTGGGAAAATCCTTCTGCAATTTAGATTCTGACGCTTTAGACGACGACTGCTGCTAAATATCCCTCTATTCCTTATTGTGTTCAAAAATGACCTCCTCTTGATTGATTCATTCGTGATGGAGCAGATCTCACTGTTTCTGAAGTAAATCTTCCTCTGTCTTCATTTCTCTTTCTCGATGTCTTTCTCTTTCTAATCTGTGGCATGTCTTCCCTCTGAAATTAGATGAGGTTCCTCCCTTTAGCTCTTTCCTTTAGTGTTTCTGTTCACAAATAGATACATTTCATGAACAAATGTCCAGGTTTTCCCTGAAATCAAAAGAAAAAAATTGCATAATGAAAATGAAGACGCGCCCCCTCCCAATGTAGCGAACAGGCAATGTTCTCCGAACTTTGGCTAAAGCTCTGGCAAGGAAAGAAAGAGCAAACATTCTTTCAGTAACATTAGTTGAAGGTTTGGTCAGAGTTATCTGGTCTTTAATAATGCTCTCAAAATGTTAGCCAAAAACATTATTTATACATTGAAACTTTTTTTCTGAAACCGTTCTAGATTGTCGTCTAATGTTTTTGAAATGTTTCAGAACATTCAGAGAACATTAGTAATGAACAAGTAACGTTCCCGGGAGTTAAGAGAACTTTAAAGCTACACTATGTGATTTTTACCGCCATCTAGCGGTGAAAAGGTATATGACCATCCAGTGAATATTAGTTTCTGTTCCTCTCAATTCCGATTTCATTTTAACTCCTACGGTGGCCAATGTAGTCCAAGATTAACATGGCTTCCAGTTCGGCCTCGTCCATGAGTGTTAACTCAAATGTAAACGCGAAAGGCGAAGCTTGAATTAATGGGTATGTCCCTTTTTGGCTAATGTACTTTCAAGATGGAGGGGCAACATGGCGACCGACATTAGAACCCCTTACCCGTATGTATGTTCAATGGCATGTTATACACTCACGAGAATACTTTATTACTTGAACGAAGTAAAAATACATTAATGAGCACATATATTTTTGAAAGAACTAAGTGTTTTTAGCTAAGAATAAACTAAACTGAATAAACTTACTGTGTTACAGCAAAAATGTAATACAATTATTTGATTTCAGTCAATTAATGGAGCCTTTTCATATTTCCAGGGTTCTCAGAAGTCGGATAGTTGGGTAAACTTCTAGGGTAGGTGACAAAAAAAATATAATTTTTGTATTACCATTTGCTCTAATAGCAAAATTAACGATCTGTGAGAGAGTTTCCACAACTTTCCAAAAGGGGGAAAAAATAAAGAGAGATTGATTAGGTAAGAAAGATGTCGAATTTGCTGTCACTCCCGCAGCCATTTGTTGTGGGGTTGATTTGTTTTTGCATAAGAGCTTTCAGGCTGCAGGAAGCACAGGAAAGAAGACAGGCTGGCTATAGAAAGGGCACAGGGGTCACGACCGTCACACTACAGCCATAGAGGAGCTATTCACCTTCACGTTAGTACTCCAGATAAACAGCCACTACAAGAACCCATTCAGACAGCTATATCAACCACCTCCAATGACCCTTCACAAGACAGGCCTGCTTGATCGATGATTACAGGACGCAGATTCTGTGACATTATGGGTTGGTGTCGCGTTTTATCAATTTAGATTTATTTACAGCTGTGAGAAAGCATTGGGATTGATTCTAAAATGCGATCTTAATTTGTCACAATAAATAACCTTATAAAGAACAAACAGCACTTTGCTAAATCTTTAACAAATGATTACAAATTCAACATCATAGATGGAAATATAACTAATGAATCGACTATTTTGGTTAATGCGTCTTAAACGCGTGTTTTGTGCATAAAACTTTGTGCAAATAAAGAGTTAAATGCCTGCCCACAGAATACTGTTGTAGTTAGTAGTGTTTAGCAAAATTGGGTATTTGATTCAATGTGTCCCTTTGTGACAGGAGATGCACCCGCATGATCCTTGATTTAAACTATTTCCATCAATGGTCTTGATTTTTTTATACAGTTTGATCAATATATATATGGCGATTGAAAAGACAGCTACATAATGTTGCCCAGATACGGCCCACATCTGGTAGGCGTGGAATCCACATGTACTTGATGTGGCGCGGATCTGGGCTGACACTGTGTTGCTGTCTGGGATGTGTTGTTTGTTATAAGACTTGCCCGATGAGACTGGATCACACTTCCGGAAAAATATCGTTCCAAAGAGTCCTTAAATTGTATATATGAGCTATTACTTTCTAAGAAAAGTCTATAAAGTCGTATTTTGAATTACGCGTAATATATTGTTTTACGTAGAGCTACATGAAATGATAATGTCCTGGCTGAAAATGACGGTGCATTTTCCATTTTTCAACTGTTTTGTTTTCTTACACTGTAAAGTGTGGTGACAGTGATTGTTTTCTTACACTGTAAAGTGTGGTGACAGTGATGTTAAAGTGAGTTTACTGTTTGGACTCATTTTTGCAGCGACCTTTGGGTTGTAAAAATAATCCAAATAGTAGGTCTGAGGGAAGAGCCAAGAGCAAGATTTCCATTAAATGTAAAGAAACAGTTGTTGCAATTCTTCATGAAATGAATAAATCAAGAGGAGTTTCAATTGCATGGCTTGATTCACTTGGAGCTTGACAATATGAGGGGGTGGGATAGATTTGCTTGATGTGTGTAAAAATGTACGTAAATGCCTTAATCATGAATCTAAACTGCTTAATAGAGTCCTCACGTTTTGTGCATCTCGACGACACTGTTTCAGAGATGGTTCAGGAGTGCTGACACTTTAACTGTATGGCTGCTAACTGATACAGTGATGTCCCCCCTAAAGCCAAATAAAGCCATTTATCAACCTAACGTACCATGTGACCTCTTTGTCTCGTGTTATATCAAGAAAACACAACACGCACACGGTTGTTTTATTTAAAGACTTGATTTACTGATACATGAACATACTCTTAAAACTAAAGGTTCCAAGAGTGAACCTTTTTTCACAGTGATGGTAGAAGAACCATTTTGGGTTCCACAAAGAACATTGCAGTGAAGCGTGAATAAGTTTCCTAGTGCAAAGAACACATCTATCTATAAATTACAGGAATATATCTCGAACCGTTAGTCCGATGGATTTCAAACTTGACAGGTGTCTTGCTATACGGGCATGAATAAGTGCATTACCGGGTTTGACATTGTTTGGATTAGAAAAGCAAAAGATATCGTCAAATTTATCTGTAAAAGAAGCACACATTGAAGTTGTGGTTTGAAAAATAAACTAAATTAAGTCAGCTACACTGTTTACTTCCGAAGTAAAAAAGTAGTGATTCTTCTCGAGAAATGTAGCAATTCATATCAAGGGTAGTATTTTACATTTATTACAATGTAATTATACATTTATTACAGTGTTATTATCCATTTATTACAATCTAATTGAACATTTGTTACAGTGGTACACATTTGTTACATTATTATTATTATTAATTTGTAGATTCTTTTTGGAAAAGTAGCGATTCTTTTTGAAAAAGTAGCGATTCTTTTTTTGAAAAAAGTATATTGATTCTTTCCAGAAAAAGAAGTGATTCACTACTTTCGAAAAAGTAGCGATTTAACTGAATCCGTAAGTCAGCTACACTGTTTAATTTAGCTACGCTGTGAGTTTAGGCTCCTGTGTAATAGTAGCCTAGGCTAATCAGCAACTCAAACATACCAAACCAACAACTATTAAAAACACATAAAAACTGTTAATCATTTAGAAGGCTACCATGATTTATACTAATAATCCAGGCTTTGGTAAAAACATAATCAGAGTTTTGTCTCGAAAACTTAAAAAAGGTTTTAGTCTGACCGAAATGCATAGTTTTATTGCTGCATGTCATCTGAGGGAGACTAGACAGACCATATAAATTATGCATCTAGCAAATAACCATTCTGCTGACGGCACATCTCCTGATCTTGGCTAGACGAATCCAGAACAACTCCAAAATGTAATGCTCTCAGCTCTTTGGGAATCATTCAGCTTTTTGGGAACTTATTTTTTGTTTTACATTGATGACAATGAAGACATTTGTAATAATGTTAAAAGATTTCTTTCAAATGAATGCTTTTGAACTTTCCATTTATCAAATCCTGAAACAAATGTTCCCATTTAACAGCACAATGATTTTCTACATTATTAATAATAAGAAATGTTTCTTGAGCAGCAAATCATCATATTAGATTTCCTGTATTTTGGATTAAAAAAAATGCAGCCTTGGTGAGTAAAATAGATTTTGCTCAAAAGCATTACTAAACCGTACTGACCCCAACAATTTTGAATGGAAGTGTAAATAGGAATTAGTCAAGTGAAGTCATTCTCATTTATATAGCGCTTTTAACAATGCAGATTGTTTCAAAGCAGCTTTACAATGATAAACTTAATATAATTTAAAGTAACAGAGATGGGTTTGGTTTTATGGCGGTTCTTAAATAATGTTATTTTCCAGCTGAAGTTAGTTTTGATTGATTCACTTGAAATGATCATTTGTTATTAAATTAGAGGCCGCTAAGTCGACACCGTTTTCTCTAAACAGACATTAAACGCGAACCTGTGAAAAACGGTGGCGTTCACATGCGCATTAACAATTGATTCTATAGTTATGTGCGTTTAAGGTGATATAAGTGAGCAGGTTTGTAATTCCCTACAAACCATGCCTAAACCTCGGGATAAACAAAGACACTAAAATTAGCGTAGATGCCATTCTTCTTATGATGTAACGAGTACATCAGGATTTTCCCAGTTCCGGCTGACCTAATTTATGCAGCCTAACATTGAATTATATAATTATAAGTCGATAATGTATTATGTGTGAATGCTAGGTCAAAGAGATGTGATTTAGTCTAGCTTTGAACTGACAGAGTATATCTGCTTCCTGGACAATGTTAGAAAGACTGTTGCAAAGTTTGGGTGCTAAATAGGAAAAGGATCAACCGCCAGCAGTCGTAGGTATTATCAACTGGCCGGAACTTTGTGGAGGACTATAATGTGTTAAGAGCTCACTCAAGTACCGGGTAGCTAAACCATTTAGTGTTTTGTAAGTAAGCCATATTTTGAAATGTATACAATGTTTATTAGGCAGCCAATGCAGTGTTGACAGAACTGGGCTAATATGGTCATACTTCCTGGTTCTGGTAAGAACTCGAGCTGTAACGTTTT